ATATAGCCTGATTCATTTATAGGTAAAACTTAACAATTTTTTTTATACTTTAATGAAGATCATAATGATACGTTATTTAGTATTTTTTATAACAGATTCAAAAATATCAGGGTTCTAAATTTCCACCAGAGCAGAGCAGTGCGATCATAAAAGATCTTTCGTGCTAAAACTTTCAATAGTAGACGTTTGAGACACATACACGATAAGCTCCTCTTCACAGGTTTCAACATAGTTTAAACACATTCCATAAAAATATCATTAGAATCGGCCGAATATATATAATGATATATAAGATACATACGAGTTATTTGTAGTAAAATCATCTCTTAGCAAATACTTCCATACTATCAATCACTATCAGTATTTATATGATTTGTTAACGTGCGATTAAAGGAAAGCATTCTGTGGATGTTAAAGGTTTATACAGACATCTTGAAGGATATCCTGAACGACACTGATTTGACTTGCATTTAGGACGTATGAATTGGTATAGAAGGAGATTTTAAATACAATAAATAGGTTCTACCAAAAAGCATGTATAGTTCTTAGTTAAAAAAGTTTATTTTGAAAAGTTTATTATTTGAAACAGTATGATATCACAGCGACGTTCCATAAGGAACTTCCGGAGGCTATCGTGTGGATTGCAATGTATGATCAACTTTTAACGTGAAAGTTATCGATAAAGCGACAATTCTAATGTATATTGATAACATTGCATAGTGGTGACAGACAAAGGGCTAGATCACTTATAAACCAAGTATAACAATGAGGATACTCACAATGAGAAACTTAAATTGTTGTATTAAAATCTAAAAGCTGGCCATAGTAAAAAAGCAAATAAAGACAATGAATTTCATATCGAGAGTTATAAAGCATTATCACAAGAAACAAAATTATATCTACAAGTCATGTTTGATCTAAGATATTGAACAAAAATCTATTAAATGTTCATGTTCATTTAGATAATGGCAATAATCATAAAAATAGAAGCCCAAAGGGCATTAAACTTATACACTCATTCCTCACATTGAAATATGGAACAAACAATAAACTATGGTAATTCGACTACCATCTAAGTCAAGTACATCGAACCCACGAATGCTATCTAGAAGATTTCACCGTTTTCAGCTGACAGATAACGGCTACTGCCCAAACTATCATAACGTTGCTAAAAGCGCAGCACTTGTACTTTTTCATTGTGACCTTTTCAAGAAGGGCCCTCTATCTCCTAGCAGTTTCACACCTTCGACATTCAGACGGAAAATACAAACACTATTACAATCCCATAACGTGAGAAAATATTTCCAATAAGAACATTTACAGTTACCCAGTAGTAACGCTAATAGAAAGAAATAAACAGCCTAAAAATGTAGTCATTAAATGACGACAAAAACAGACGTTTGATCTTCGTGCTTTGGACGACCTCTTGACAATATACCAACTTGGTGATCCCAAGAAAGTTAATCACAGACATTGTTATAATTTAAGTGGGTCTGTAGTCGTACACTGATTTAGGCTTTCGGTTCCTTTGCAGCTTATAATATGGTAGATAGAAAGAAAAGTAGATAAATAGATATGTGAAAATAATGCCAATAGACTTAAGCATGCTTTGCAAGTTAACTAAATCTCATTATATCATAGTTTTTTTTTGCTTCAGTAAATAATTAATTCACATTATGTTTTGTAAGACATAATGTTTTCTATGAAAACTGAATTGATTTTTTCTATTTTTAAAGAAAAACTTAAGCCCACAACTTTTGCCCAAACCCGAGATAAAGCAAATATAATTTATATTTGCAGCCAATACTGCAAATCCATATTAATGCATATTAATAACTCTTTAGTAATGCATAAAAGCTGGTTTTTGCTGCGTTAAAAATAAGTCAAGACTTGAGATAAAATCTATTTATTCTGTCTTAGAAATAAAAATATTTTTTCCTCACAACTACTCGTAGAAGAGTATTGCTCAGCTTAGCAGCGCAACAGCAAAAGCGAAGCTTGAGCGGATGCACGATGTTAGCAAATCGAAGCTTTTGGCTATCATGAATTGGGCAAAAAATGGTAACAGTATAAATATTTTGTTAACAGCATTTAACCAATTTTTGCTATTGTACAAATTTACCTTTCGCCGGTGTATTTTTATGCAATATTTTTTTTCGCTGCATAACATTTACGAGATACAAAGCCAAAAAAAATATAATGTCAGAGGAGCGTTAAAGTTTTGTAACTTGCAGTTAACTAACTATAGTATAGGTACGTATAATGTAAGAAACCTTTTTTATGGTTTTTTGAAGGTGTGCACCAAGCAAATATTTTTCCAAACTAATGAGTTACCATTAAATGTCAATAATTCAACTTCAAAATGTAAACTGCATTAAAAAAATATTTTCTTTCAAATAAACTCTTTTGTATTTTGGAATTTTCAAATTAAATTTAAGTAATGAGAAAACGTTAAGTAACGCAAATATCTTTTATGGTGCCATAAATTCTATTTGAAAATTTCTTCTAAACAATAAATAAATGAAATGTATAAGTACTTTTTATGATTTCCACGAAATCAAAGTAAAAGGTTAACAAATTTTGCGAAAGTTTCACACAAAAACAGTTAGTATCTGTAAATTTGGCTATTACAGCACACTAAACGAAAAGATTAAGCTGTAAAAAATAAAAATAGACATTGGCATGCAACATCTTGTGAATTGCACATAAATCATTCTAGTTCTAGTTTATCGATCTTCATTCAACAAAATATATAATAAGAAAAACTGCTATAATTTTATTATAATTTTATGGCAAGCCTCGGGAAGATCGCATGCAGCAAGTGGCTTATGAATTGCAAATGGCAATCATCTTTAAATTTATCCAATAGCACCAACTGGTGAAAAATATTCGGACCATGCTTTTTTATTATTTTCCTAACTATTCTTTACAATTAATAAATTCTACGTCAAGAATGTTCCGTTGGTGCTAAACATCAAATGTTTCGTATTGTCTGCGAAAGCAGAATTTGTTCTGCATTTTTTCTCATTTGTGCATTTTCTTTTTAAGGCGCTCGTGCATCTCAAAAGTAAGAAAATATCTCAGCATTTAACCTAATAAATAATACCGTCATACACTGTTGTAGTAGGATTGATATGTTAACGGTTATAAGCAGTCTTTATTAATTATTTTTTATTTATTGCTGTTCTTTAAATTATTTCAACCTGTCTGAAAACTCGTTTCAAAAAGATTGTCACAATTCTTTCGTAGCCATCTTGCGTGTATACAAGTCTATACGTAATTCAGTTTTAATTGCAATTGGATTGTTTAAATACTCTTCGAACAGAACAAACGCAGCTAAGCTTAAGCATTTGATCATAGTCTCAGATAAATATTATTACTTAAAATAGTTTTATCTGAAAGTATAATAATGTCAAGTTTAATAATGCCATTATACGCATAAGGTAGGTGGCTTCTAGTAAACCAAATCATACTCCAAATAAAATTGAAGAAATTTTCCTTTTTACGTCAAATATATAAATGAAATTTATGAGCGACCGTGGGATCACTATAAGTCTCGATAAATTATTATTTTTAAAATTAAGTTAATGAAAGTAACTATTAAGAAATTATAACAGTTAATATTAGCAGTCCATATGGCACGAAATGAGCATTGACAGAAATAAAAATGATCAGTTATTTTCCTTAGCCCAATTCTTTAATTTAACTATCACTAACTATCTATCTTTATCTTCATGACATGTATCAATAACATTTATGCCTATTGAAATGCAATATCGCTAAGGACGAGAATTCGGTCATCTACAGCAATAAGAAACACAAGAAGTCATTGAATAATATCTCAAAATATCTCAAAACCGATTACCGAAAACATTTGTGAAATATATCCCTGAAACCAAATTCAATTTGCTTCCACAGTAGTGATACTTACAACATATCCTTGACGAAATCTTAAGGCGAAGAAATGACTGATTAATTAAAACAATACTAGATCCACCAATAAGTGAGCAGAACAATTTGGACACATGCACTATATCGTTAGAGAACCAAGGTAATACCTAAATACTGATAAACTACCGTTCACACATCACATCTCGTACACAGTAACTGCATCTCGTACAAGTTTTAAATCTGATATCATATATGTACTTCTTGATGCGCTGTCCAATGCCTTAAGATATAATAAAATACTACTTGGGTAAAGTATATAGTATATATATCTGATAGCATTCATTGCCAGTTGATTTGGATTAAGACGGATTAATGTAGCTATAAAATCAACTAGATTCCGCAATAAATTTATTATCTGCAGTAAAGCGAACTAATAATATACTCACTATATTATACTCAAACATATATTGACTATATTTCTTATCATATATAAGACCATAATATTTGTCTTTATCTTTACTATAAAAAGTAACATTGGCACGTCTGTTCAGGCTTTTTATAAACTAAATACTTTTTTTAAAGCTAAAATTGCGATATTGCAATATATATCTATTATTTCATTTACTATATATTCAATATTTTATTTAAAAATAAAATATTGTTTTATTTAAGAATTTTAACGTTTATTTCAAGCATTATTTTTACGCACTACTGGAAATCCAGAACGCTGTTATACGCTCTACTAAAGATCGAATAATGCTTATTATATATATATATATATATTGTATAAGAGTTTTTCAAATAGTTTTTTTATATAGTATGAAGTGCAGAATATTTTGTTGTTTATACATATTAAATATTGAAAAATGTACAATTCTATATCAGTCTTAATTCTACACAAATACGTACTGGTATACTCTTCAGTATCTTAAAAAACATGACTTAATCTAAATGGCTTGAAATAAAAAATACTTTAAGTTTAGATAATAGTTTTGCTACTTTTTAAATTATAAATATTTTAAACATTCAACTCTTTAACATAAATATTTAATTATATAGCACTTATATGGATATTTTCCGATTTTCAAAAATAGTAATTCATTACTTACTTTCTCCAGTATTAGATGGTTCCAGAGTCCATAATTGTTTCTTCTTTAAGCTAGCACCATTTGCGTTCAACTTATAGCCAAAAGTTTCGGCAGTCATATACTTATGTTGTCCATTGATAAGACCAATGGTCCACCAACCTTTTTGTTGGTTTTGTGATATGATATCTCCATTTGTGTGGTTCAACTCATAACATTGACCGTTCATGGTGTTGCTACTTATCGGTTTGGGAGCAATGGTGAAGCTGATTATTTAACACAGATACAAGAAAAAAGAAATGCGTAGATTATAATTTCCGGCTTAATGGATTGCGTCCGGCGCTATTGTGAAAATATTCAAATAGAATAAAAATATTTATTTATTATAAATTTAATAATATAATAGAAAGTATACATAAAACATATATCTATATATAAAATTAGAATGATAAAAAAATAATAAAACTTAACCGTAACTTTAAAAATTTGTCGATTATTTACACTTAATATATATCTGACTTGTTAATAGAAATTTTATTTTACTATTGTTAATTGTTAAAAAATGTCTGTAACGATCCTAAGTATTTTGCAGTTTTACTGATGCATTTAAAAAAAAAACTAAAATTGAAATGTAGTAGCATATATTTTCTGCTATTTATGTCTTCTAGCTAAATTACCGTCTACATAAATATTGCAGACATATACTATACATAATTGCAAGGTGTCATTATAAAAACCATCAACAAAATGTGGGCTTCGGAGAGTGTGACTTGAAATTTGTGCTTTGCATATAAACAACTCAAATCAATCAAGAAAGAAGATGCAAACTCAAATATGAAACTGCAACAGTGCCAAATTGCTAATTTTATAGACGACAAGACATACTTGACTTTCACAGTAGTTAATGACTTTCATTAAGCACGGATTTCTTAATGTCGAAGCTGTTGACAAAGTAGACAACTGACGCTGTTAGTTCAGGAAATGTGGACAAGATGGCAGTAAAAAGTTTTCTATAGTCTTCAAGCTTGCATTTGTACGTTGCATTTGTATGCGAAGCATGTAAATTAATTTTATTACACATTTAGGATTAATTAAAATTTTTGAGCACTTTTTTTTATAATTTAATTTAAATTTAAATAAAGATATTTAAATATTTAGTTGAAAAAAAAAAACATAAAATAAATATCGAGTGAGATGTACCATTGAATATGTATTCAATATATTAATCTTAAAAATTACATGATTACTTAAATATTTTGATTTACATATGTTTCAACTGTCGGTACAATTCAAAGTATACACAATTCTCTAAACATTTAAACAAATTCAATATAACTAAATTAAAATTCAAGTAAATTTATGTGAATCCCATAAGCACACAACAAAAAAAACGTTGGTGACCACACCTAAAAGAACTTACTTCATTTCTCTGTTGTATGGAGTGTATTAAATCAGTTCCTATATCAACACAAACAATCATGATTGACCATAAAAAGTACAAAACAAATATACTCACACCAGGTCCGCATGCAGTCGCCACGGGACTAAATCCGCAGGACAATAAGACAGCCTATACTCTATTGCCTGTGCTCATAAAGTTTATATTGCAAATCAAACTAACTGCAATCAGTTAAACGAACACAGTTCATTAACATTTGCTGGACGACTTGAAATACAGTGAAAAATTTAAATTAAAAATAAAAAGAAATAAACTTTAATATTTAACAATTGGTAAAGGCAAAAAATTGCAAACAAATGGGGTACATGACTCAGACACATTTATTTAAATGACAGTAGTAAGCGAAAAATTTTATAAAGAACGATAAGTATTTTTTTACGTATGTAATATGCAGTGTTAACTAGATAAACCTTTTTAAGACATTCTTATAATATTACATATCGAGAAATTTAAAAGTTATATAATTTTTAAAATAATCTTTGCAGTTGTTTTACTAAAAATATAATATTTTTTAGTCCGCACAATCTAAAAGATACTTTTATTTTTTATTTCTTTCCATTGACTATTATTATTCCATTACTATTCCATTACTTATTATAAGTAATACAAATGAATGGTTAGTTGCAGTAGCAGGTCATTGCATAACTTCCAAGGAACCCCAATTAGCAATTTTTCGCCGTTTTGCTATACCACAATCCTCACAAAAATTCTAATATATAGGAGAGTAAAGACTAAATCCATTCTGTCAAATTTAGTAAATTTAATAGGTCTTCAACGATGAACAGTCTGATAAACTATCAAAGAAATATTTTCCTAAGAACCTACATCTTCTCCAAAGCCAGGCATTCACAGAGAAAATGTATCATAGTTTCTCTTCCTGCAGGTTTCCATTCTGGTAGATATTAATTTATAGATATCATTTGAAATTGTACTTAGAATGACATCAACCGAGAAGCCATCAATAGAGTTCGATACAAAATAATGATAATAGAATAATAGAAGAGTCATTTTAAAGATGACATCTTCAGAATACGTTGGTATACCAGTCTGGAACAGCTGTCCAGCTACGAAACTATTAGTTATGCTATTCGTATAAGCATAATCAATAAAAATATGTAACTATTATCCAATTAGATAATAAATTTAAATCGATCTTTAAAATATATCAAAATAGGTGCACTGACAAGAAGAATACAAACAAATTGATGTCTACGATCAGTTAAGGCAGACTTAGGTATCATGAATATTCAAATTTACAGATTGCAGAAATACTGCAAAGAAAGCTCTGTCCCACTGCGGGTGTAAAATGACTTAGAATGACAATATAAATATAAATATATATGAAAAATATATACAAAAATAAGAAATTAAAAATATAATTAAAATGTAAGTATTTTGTCGATTTAGAAATATAATTTATCCATTCTTGAAACTTAACAGGGTTTTAATTTAACGTTTGGTATTTGCAGCATAAAAATTATATACAAATAATTAAGTTCAAAAAACATATTTCAAGATCACAGAAGATGTGTATTTGGCAATACCCCAAAATAGTTATGTGGTAAACCAAAAAATTTAATAATTTAAAATAAAATTTTTATTCGTTATGTTTGGCTTTAAATAAATTAATTCTTATTTATTTATTTAGTCAAATATAATATAAAATATATATTAAGATAACTATTTAATGCAATTAAACATATATATATGGGATGCAAGCGACTTATTGACGTTCTTTTCCAAGTAGATTACATAAAACAAACTTATTGAAAAACTATTGTTTAAGCTTTCAAACTAATAAGTTCTTGTAATTATACTTATGCAGATTTCACTGTAATCACAAAGAATAAGTATAAATCCATAGTAACTTTGCAAACATCAGTAATAAAAAAGTAAGTTTGCTTACTTGCCAAAAGCGGTAGGACGTCATAATGAAAACAAACCAAAAAATAAAACATATTCTCGGGTGTGGATTTGCATATTAATTAAAAAGTGAAGAAAATGGGAATGAATTCGGGAGAAGTACAAATATTTGCCCATACATAGTTCTGTAATAACAAAACAATCTACATGTTAGCCAAGTTGATAAGACAAAACTGAAAGGAAAAATAAATGAGAAAAAATAATGATTGGGCGTTGTCATTGTCGAAGCACAAAAAACTAAAAGAAAGCAAAAGTTTTATATATTTTTTGTGGGAATAATTTTCAGCAGCAGAACTTCCCGAAAATGAGTTTGTTAATGTACTAAATGCACGCTTAATAGTTTAAAGATTTTATGAACGAATTTTATAGATAGATACATTTGATACGACCAAATGTGAAAATGTTTTAATTAAGTTACAAGAAAAGTTTATGCACCGCTACTTTGTATCTGCATTTCATCAGTAACATAATACCTAGACAGTTATTGACTGGCATGCACAGACTGCAACTTGTAAAAACTCTTCCAAAATAGAAGCAGTTGAGCACAAGATTTAGTGATGTGATCAGTGATTGCGTCTGTTAATTATTTCTCATAAAAATGTTATGGTAAATTAATTTTCATGAAACCTAAAATTGGATTATAAGAAAAGAAATGTAGAAAAGTGCATTACCAACAGAAGTCTAACACACATAAGAAAGTTTTAATTTTAGTTGAGTTATAAAAATAATGAGGCTTTCAATGTTATAAAGAAATCGTATAAAATTCAAAAAAAAATAAAAAATACAATTTAATTATGTTAGATACGAGTATGTAAACTGAAGCATTCATAATTGTTGTAAAAACGAATTTTTGTGAAAAAAAATTATAGACAATCGTAACTAAATTTTATATATTTTTCATGCATACACACTGTTATATTACTTTAAACAAGTTCGATTAAATAGACTGAAATTGATCAAGATAATATAACAGATTGTTAGGCAATGCTAGAAAGAAGCGGATATCTGTAATTATATTATAGTTCACTGCAATTTCGCTCAAAAACTAACAAATACTTGCAGTTTTAGGTCTAAATTCTTAATAATTTTTTTTATAAAGTAATTTCGCTTATTTTTTAAATTACTTGTTCATGAAAACAACATTTACCATAAAAGATTTTAGCGAATTTACAGGTAGATTTAACGGACACACCAACTTATAATTTCTACTTATTTAAAATAAATGAGAAAATATCAAATTTGCATAACATTTAGAGTAGTGTTCTATAGAGTTCTTTGTGGGTATCTGGGACCAATTTTATATAATGTTTTATTCATTATCTATTCACTTAAGTAGACTATCAGTATTCGTTGATGTAATTATAAGTAAATGTAACATCCAGGTAACCACTTTAGTTCCAAGTCTAGTGAAGTGGAAAAGGACCCATATACATAAGTAGAGATATACAAATAGAGCACTAGTCTAATATCCAGATGACCACTTTAGTTTCAAGTCTAGTGAAGTGAAAATGGACCCATAGACATAAGTAGAGTTATACAGAGATATATACATCTACTCGTGTTTTCCAGCAACGAATAATAAATTCAAGAACTTAGTAAGAAACCTTACAGCATGTCTTAAATATAGGAGCCTTAAGCCCACAACGAAAAATTATTTACAAAATTTAATAAACAGACTACTACATGTCTCAAAAGTAGAGGACAAGGAGGGACAAGCTTAAGAGACGAGCCTATCAAATCAATTCACTTAACACACCATTCGTTGAGATGAATGTTTTTAATTAACGAAGAATAATTCGTTAATTAAGAACCCTAACTAAAAACTACAGTGAATATTTAACACTATATAATATATTACTTGATAACATCATATTAATTATAAAAGAAAAACAGTTAAGATTTAAATTAATATATATGTTTATTGTTTCTTTGGGCCTAATTTGCAAATATTCCC